CCAGATTCTTCTTCTGAAGGATGGATGCCTGGTAGCCAAGCTTCTGCTGCTGTGGCAAATAACCTGAGAGAAGAACAATGTAAAGGACAGAGGATTCTTTTTGGCTCGGGATGTCAATAGTCTTAGTCTAGGAGCTGGCACTATTGCATGTTGATCCGTGACACAATGGTCATGTCATACATGGAGGAAGGGCATGGCAGGAGACAGCTGCTCAGTCTGTGGCTGCCAGGAAGCAAAGAGGGAAACTTGATGTGCCATGCTTTGTTCGAGCCCATAGGAGGCCTGTCCCTTTCTGAATGGAGACAGGGGCAGAGTAGAAGGGGAGGGGTAGATGGGAAGTGGAGAACTGGGAGGAGATGAAGGAGGGAAATTGCAGGTGGTATATAAAATAATGAAAAATGCTATTTAAATAAAACTAAATTAAAAAGTAGAAAAATAAAGAAAATGACTCATACCCTATAAGCCACCCAGATAGAAAGGATATTAAGATAGAACTATAAGAGTGTTTTGTTCCTGCCATGGGCACTAGGAACTTGCTGTCAAGATCAAGCTGGGTACACTTGGCTTGGTAAATCTACAATAAGTGACATGCAAGGGGTTCTTTAGATCTGGATAAGGGAAATAAAAATCATAGGGAGAACTAGAGCCTATGGTCTGCTGTAAAAGTATATCTACAACTACCACCATAGTGCTTTTAGGCAGAGCAAATCAATGGGATTCTCAGGAGTCTTGACACAAGCCCTCCAGTCCTTAGCACCGAGAAGTTGGTGGGCCGAGGAGATGACTCAGTTGGTAGAATATTTGTCTTACATATCTGAAGACCAGAGTTTGATCTTCAGAACCCCTGTGTGGTGACCTGCACATGTAATCCCCTCTAGGAGATTTGGAGACAGGCAGAGATTTCTGTGGGTCACTGGCTAGACAGTCAAGCCTACTTTGTGAGTTCCAGACCAGTGAGAGACTCATCTCAAAAGAAAACAAGAAGAAAAAATAAAAACAAAGACTGAACCTAGTAAGCCACACTCGAGGCTGACCTCCAGCAGGGTGTCCCTCGTCTGTGTACGCATGTGCAATGTACATGCACAAATGCACACATGCACATAGGAACTTTGGTCTGCAGGTCCAAGAGGAGAGAATTCTGGCTCAGGTAACTCCTGCTCAACCTCAGTCCTGGGAACTCTCACTGCCCAAGTTGTCCTGTGACACCCCATGAAGACCTCTGCTGAGAGCTGTGTCCTCCCCATTTCGGAGAGTCACTCACTCTGCTTTGGTAACTGTGGGTACATTTAAAGCCATTTTGTGGTGATGGAGAATGGCTTCTAACTTCAAGTCCAAGATGAAAATGGACCCCCTCACTGGGAGAGCCAGGCTACTTCCTGCATTAATTAAGTAGTCTCTTCTCCACAGTGGTCTCACTTCAGACTCACTTAGCCTACTGTTATCCAGAACCTTCCAAGACTTCTTAACTGAGAGTCTCTGAAGTGGAGCCCAGACACCAGCAGCTTGAAAAACTCCATAGGTTTTTCTAGTTTGCAGCCCTACTTTGAAAACCACTGATTTCATGTGTGGCTGATGGCATCACATGCACTGTCTCACTCAGTCTCCATAACAACCTTTGAAATGAGTCCTGGAAAGAACAGCTATGATCACAATGACCTGGGGGCTCAGAGGAGGTGAGAAACTTGAGGTTGCACAGTTAATGTGTCTCAGTTTTGGAGCACAGACTCTGAGTTCATCCATTGTCCTCAAGCCAGGAAACTAGAGTGGTTTGAAGAGCCCCAAGAGAGTGAGTACTGATGCAAAGGGCAGTTGCTTCCAGTGCATTCTGGAAAGGTAGTAAATGAGTCATAGAAATGCCAAGGCAGAACCCCAGAGGCCGCCTTATCACTCAGTGCCTCTCTGCAAAGTCTGATTCCATGGGTTTGGGGACAGACCAGGTAGTCTGCCTTTCTAACAAGTTCCCTGGTTAACTCTGAGGATCCCAGGGTGAGGATCAGCCTCAGGAAAGAAAAAACAACAAAGACTGGCCCCAAGGCAGAACATGGAGGTCACAGGGATGCCATTATAAGATGAAAGCAGTTTGTTTGTTTTAATTCAATTTATGCATTGCTCCTAATAGTAAGGACAATGGCTTTGGTGTCTGAAGTCTTAAGAATGTCAAGGGTCTCACATTGTCTTGTATCTCTTATATGAACTATCAAAGTAGCTCTACAGCATACTCAAAGTTAGCTGCATTGTTTTGATTCTAACTTGTAAGTTATATCTCAATATGAGGGTAGGGAAGTATTGCATGGAATAAAGCACAATAAATATTCACGAATGTGTAGATGATCATTCCAGGGGCTGATGGCATGAAGGAGCCTTATGTACCTCCTCGGGGCTGCTTTAAGCCCCCCCCCTTTCCTTCCTTCCTTCATCCCCCTCCCTCTCCCTCCCTTCCTCCCTCCCTCTCTACCTCTTTGCCTGTCTCTTATCTCCTCTCCTGTCTTCTCCTATCTCTCCTCTCTCTCCTCCTCCTCCTATTTCCTTTCTCTTCTCTCTCCCCCCTTTCCTGCCTCCTTCCCTCTCTCCTCTCGGTTCCTTTCTCACTCCTCTCTCCTCTCCAGCTTCTCTCTCTCTTCCCCTCTGCAACCCTGCTGAACTAAAAACATGTTGCTAGAAGATGGAGAAACCTCTTGTGCACCTATCTCTGTCACATACATGGGACCCAGCCTGGGTGCCTCCATTAGTATTCACTGAATAGCTAGCATGATGATTTCCTTAGATCATAAAGGACCATGACTGCCTTGATTTTTCCAACGGAGAAGAAACCATTGAAAGCTGTAGAGCTGAGTCACAGATGACAGGCGGCAAAAATGTGACAGAGGTTCACATGAGGTTTCAGAGGAGAGACAGTGAGGAAGGGGTGTTTTAGGAGCATGGATGTAGTTCAGAGAATAAGTTCTAAAGGCAGGAGTGATTCTTCTGTTGTTAGAACACTGAAGAAGTGAAGACAGAAGCCAGTTGGGGAAAGATTGAAGAATGAATGAGAATGTGGCTCAGTGGTACTGTGCTTGCCTACTATGTACAAGGCTTCGGGTCCCATTTCTAACATAAAAGAGAATGAAAAGGGAATATCGTTTACCTCCCTGCCACTAGATATGTGAACATCTAAGCAGAGGTACAGAAATGGGTTGCAAGCCAGAAGAACCACAAGAATCAAATAAAAGGTATTTCTTTTCTGGAGTGGGTAGGATCTGATCCTTTGTGGACAGGGGAGCTGGAAGCAGAGAGATTGGAGATGGTAGAAAAAGAATTGAAAAGGCAGGACCTAGGAGAGGATAGAACAGGAAGCCACATAATGGGGGTGGGGGGGGAGAAGAAGAAATCTTCCTCCAGGACAGAAGCAAACAGATTAGTGAGCAACACTTAAGCTGGAAGAGGAGGGCGAGAATGGCAGAGGTTGTGCCTGCTCTAGAACTTTCTCAGGAAAGTGGAAATTGCATCAGTGCATCAGAAGCTGGGGCCCAGGACTGTCTGCGAGAGAGTTTGAACTACCCAAAGTGTTAGGTGTGCCCAAAAGGCAAAAATGGAGATGCACAGAGAACAAGTTGCAACAACCACCGAGGACACTGAGGCACAACAGTTTGACTTTACAATTTCAAATCCACAATGTGGCACAAGGAAAGAGAGAACATGTGTTAGCCATGGGCCCAGCAGGACACTGCATGCCATAGACTATAGGAAAGAGAGTTTGGTATTATCAAAGGTAGGGTTAAATTCTCTAATTGATGGCATCCAGACATATAAGAAAACTGAATAAGGATAGAAAAAGTGATATATTCATTCAGCTACCATGGGATGTTTCAATGGAGATGTGTGTTTGTGTAGAGTCTACCTATTACCATAAATCAGACTCACCAGATTGGGACCCATTGTCCAGCCACAGCTTGGTTAGAGACAGGTTTTGTAGGTAGGACACTGTTCCTTGTCAGGCTCCTATGGTAAGTGACACTGTCCTCTTCAATGAAATTGTAAGGCAGCTACCATAGAGGCGTTAGAAGATGAAGGCTAAGGGTTACAGAGAAGTGGCTCTTCAAACCTGGAGAACCCAAAACCCACAGCTAATGAGGACTCAGCATGTTCAGGATACACTTTGCCCTTCTCTCTTCAGTAACCTTTTTCATTCAGAACCTGAGCAGGAGTCTAGTTCTTTTACATCTTAGCTGTTGTTCATAGATTATCTCTATCAGACACAATCTCTATTATTTCAAGCCTCAGTTTGTAGCATGCTCTGCTTCTGAACATGACTACATTTAAACATTCTTAGAAAGATGATTAGTAACAATTTCCTCAAATGTCTAGGGAATTGTGCCATAGAAACCTTTCATAATGACACAACAAAAACATACGCTTGCAGCTTCCTCTTGGCAAAGATAAAGCCTCATTTGGGAAGATAACTATATTAGGAGACCATTATATAGAGGTAGAGGGGTGTGTGTGTGTGTGTGTGTGTGTGTGTGTGTGATTTCTGCCTACCAAATTATTAAGTTTCTACTTAGCTAACATGTGATCTGATACTATTCAAATAATACCTGTAATTATTAGAAGGAATATAAAAATCTATTATACCTAAATTGAAAGAAATTTAATGAAAAAATCACCTATTATTAGGTCACATAGTGACTTGTGTCCATGAACAGTAATCTTTGTGCTTAGGGTAGCTCACCAAATAACCCCACTGCTCCACTACAGAAGTAGAACCATGTGAAATTTGGGGTGATATCATCAACCTCAATAAGGCTTTAGAATTGCTTACTGGTGGTCCTGGCTCAGAACCTTGAACTTTGATGAAAGCCTTTTGGGCAGCAGTAAGCAAGGACAGGCAAGTGGGCATCCTGCTACCCTTAGCTGGATCAATTCTGGTGAACCTCCAGGAATGCTCTTTAAGCTTTATCTGAGAAGGATACATATTTTCCTTCAACACTAACATTATTAACTACTGCTTCCCTCCCTCACAGCTCCGGATGTCCTGGCTCATCCATGGAGTTTTAAGAGGAAATGTATCCCTGGTGCTGGTGGAGAACAAAACTGGGAAGGAACAAAGCCGAACAGTCTGGCATGTTGCCACCAATGAAGGTTTAAGCCTGTGGCAGTGGACAGTATTGTCGCTCCTCGATGTGACTGACAGGTGGGTTATTCTCCATCCCCTGCAGGATGAAGTAGGATGGTCTCCCAGCTCCCATGCCCGGTATCTAAGATGTTTTCTTAGTTATTTTTCTCATGGCTATGACAAATTACTTGATGAGAGCAACTTAAAGAAGGAAGGATTTATTTGGGTTCATAGTTTGGAGTTTTAATCCATCATAGTGGCAATAAATTGATGACAAAAGCATGAGGTAACTGGTTTACATTGCATCCACAGTGAGTAAGCAGAGAGCGATAAATGCCAGTGCTTAGCTGGCTTTCTCCTTTTTCTTCACTCCAAGTAAATGGACTGGGTGAATGGTACCGTCCACATTTAGATTAGGTCTTCTCACCTCAGTTAACCCCATCTAAGATCTTGTTCACCAATATGCCCACAGGTCTGTCTTCTAGGCAATTCTAGATCCTGTCAAGTCAGCAATCAATGTTAACCATCACAAGCGTGTACACACAGAGACATACACATCCCCTGCCCATTACTGGAAGTGTGAGTTTCTTCAAGGGATGTTGTGCTAATGAACACTCATCTCCTGCAGCTCTCACCTGGTCTGATTAGCTTCCTTCAGGATCTGTCTGTGGAAAGAGCAGAAAAATGAGGCTCTTGAGCTACTACCAAATAGCACTGGGTTTCATATCTCTATGGCATTTCTTCTCACTTGATAGATGTCTCTCTTTCTCATTTGCCATTTTCTTTTCCCTCATTAACGACAAAACCTTGTTAGGTGAGAAAGCTTTGCCACTATTCTCTACTACTCTTTTAAAAAGGAGAAGCTGAAAATCAAAGGAGCAAAGGACCCACAAGTTGGCCTCAGAGCCAAGACTGAACCCAAAGGCTCCATTAATTCAGCTCCAGAGGTGGATTGACAAAGGTAGCTGCCAAATTCTTCACTAATCAGAGACAAGATCTGCCAGGGACCCTGGTTCTTATCAGATTCTATTACTAATGACCTCTGTGACCTTGAACAAGATCTTATTGCTCTTGAGCCTCAGTTGTCCTCACTTCTGAATGGATAGGGATGGCACTGGGTTGGAGCAGAAGCCTATGGAGTTCAGCTGCCACTCATCTCCCTAAGATGGCACTACCCTGCCACCTGCAGTCAGCCTGAAGCAAGCAGTCTTGAGGGAAAATGGCCTGGCCCAGCAGCATTCTCAAGACACTCTGCTGTGCTATACTAAGTGTTCCATGGAAGGTGCAGACATGTTCTACAGCAAAAGGCAGGGCACGATCATTTCTACAGAGGGGACTGGAAGGGAAAACCATTTGCTATTGGCTAAACATCCAACTCTACTATGAGGCAAAGCCTTCAGAGAAGTCTCACAGAACATACTCAAATTGCCATTCTGATGAACCTACCTTTGAAATATGAGGACCAAAGGTTCAAGGCAGAGCAGAGAGTGATGCATGTTGTCATGAGTGTGGGTCTGGCCTTTGAATTCTTCTCCCAAAGCTCATAATGTGCTGTTGCTTACAGCTTCTAAAGGGAGCTCTCCTGTTGCAGAGAGAAGCCTCCTCCTGTGAGCAACAGCTGCCCACTCTTTAGATGCGTGTGGCTTGATGATAAAAGCCATGAATATCCCCAGGCTCAATGACCCTGGGACAAACATGTTTAATTTTAGTGAATGGAGGGAGAAATGTGGGTGCTACCTACACAGGCAGGTCTTTTATTCTTTGGGATGGGGGAGGGGCATTGCACATGGGGATTGGAAACTCCCTAGAGATGTTGGAGCCCTCCTTCCTGGGAGATGTCAAATTAATTCTGGTGAATTAGAGTGTTGTTTCTCCCCTCTATCCCCAATCCAATCCAGCAAGTTCTCTCTTTCATAACTACTTCAGGGGATTTAAAGCAAGCAAAATGTTGACTCTGCTTGCTCCCTTCTGCCAGAGATTTGTTTGACAGAGATTTTGTTCCCATCCTCCTTCTTCCCCCCCACCCCCACCCCCCACCCCCGCTGAAAGATGTTTAGCAGACTGATATTTCCAATATTGATACTGAAACCAAATGTCCAGTGAGGATTCAGGCAAAAGCCAGCCTGGTTCTTAATTCATCGTGACCTAATTCATTCATAATTATTGTGGAGAGGTATCTCCATTCACAAAAATTCTGCCAGCCAACAACATGCTCCCAAAGCTAGAGGCAGTATGTCATAAGATGAGGAACCATGGGTGAACAGACTGACAGTTTCATTCCCTTAAACAAAGCTAGACTGTAGCAGTGACCTCGTCCCATTTATTGAACCTCCTGAAGCCTTGTTATTCCCTCCTGTAATCAGCACGTCTTCTCTTCACCAGATTGTTATGGGAATAAATAATATGATTATCAAAAGAATCTATGCTTAATAGGGTGTCAGAGTTTTTGTTTTACCATCTTTCATTCTAGCCTTTAAGTGGCCTCATAAGTAATTTATTGAACAAACAGTGCAAATCCAGCCCCTGATCTTCCAACATAAGGCATGTTCTGCAAAACGGAGACTTACAGTTGCCTCTTAGTTTTGAGGAAAAAAAGTGTTGGATAGACTCCTTGATCCACACTAAAATTCTTAATCAGTAAAAACTGCTAATAAGGAATATAATTAAAAATGACAATAGCTCCCCCTTACCCACATGATGCCTCAGAAGAGGCTGGCATAGTCAGCTTAGAAATGATATCCAGTCATGTGAGCTGTAAAGGTGAGGCTCTTGCAGCTATAAGTAATCAATGTTCTGTTGGGTTCTAGTCACTGATGGAGGAGGGGCAAGAAGTGCATTCTCCTGCCTTCCTCCCAGGGGAGAGAACTGTGGCTGCCTGGATTGCCAGAGCGAAATGGGAGAAAGCAGGAAGGAGAGAAAGAGTACAGTTAGGGAAAGAGAAAAAGAACAAAGGATGATGGCAAACCAGCTCCCTTCTCCCACTCCATGGGGTAGACCTTAACGCTGCGGTATGCCCATCTGCAGCCTTGGCTCCCATAAGCTCCCATAGGCTGACCCTCGCTTCTGCTTTCAGCACCTTCCTCTTTAACAGCGCCCCAGTCCCACACCTTGCAATCATTAAGAACTTTATCCCCTAGGCTTCCTCAGATCACCTCTGCTCCCAGGTTCTCCAGCCTCTACACATTAGCAAGTATTCTTATCAGCCCTGTCAAAGGTAAGAGTCCCATAGCCCCTGGACAGCGCATGAGAAATCCTTTTAAACATAAATCCATTCATTTTCCTAGCTTCCTGTGGCTTTTAGGATATTTCCTACGTTCTTAATAAGACCTTCATTTAAGGTTATGTGTGCTGTGTTCGACCCCAACTTCAGTATCTTGTACCGTCCATTCTCCTGTTCTCCCTCTCTGCCCCAAACTCCTCTCCACTCAATGGTGCCATGCTATAAGATCCCTTACCGCCAGGATTTGTATCTTCCATTCTCTCCACACTAATATTCTTCCTTTGTGCTCCATCCCTCTACATATCACTCCTCATTCATATATTAAGAAGTCTTTCCTGACCCCGGGACAATCTGTGTGCCTACAATGTGTCCTTGTGACTCTCAAGACATTCCTGTGCTTTTTTTGTCACTTTATGATTTTTTTAAAAAAAGTGATCATGCTCTTATCTTATGTGTCACTGATTTCTGAACCTAGTACCATATCTAGGAAACTCAATAGACCTGCATTGGCAGAATATGTACTTAGAAGAATGGGATGTAGCTCCAAAACCCAGCAGAATGAACTGAGAATTCCCCAACTCAACACTGGATGCCATCCAGCACACCTCCTCTGTTCATCCTGTGTCTAGTAAAACAGACAAAACTGCTTTTGTGTCCCATATATCAGAGCTGCAGCTGTGTCCTGTCAGAAGAACCAAAACAGCATTTGTTAACTCTCATGGCAGGGAACCCTCTTTAGAGACTTGCCTGGTGCCTGTGCGCTCTTTGTCTGTGGTCACTGTCCTGTCAGAATCACTTTATAAGAAAGGCTTTGATCTTAATCGTGTGCCCTGTGCCTGTGAGTTGGGAGCTAGAGCTGAGCACGGAGACCAAAGAACTGTAGTAAAATTGCTCCCACACCACAGCAGCCTTGCAATAGCTCAATGACTGGGCTGTAGGTGTAAAAGGCCAGCAGCTGGGAGCTGTGCATCCATGAATGGCATTTCTTCTGTCTTCACGACTGGGCCAAATGATAGAAGTGACATCACCAGTCATCATAAAATTACCATATTCTACAACCAGACTGCAAAGAGTAGCAAGAAGGAAAGGTCCCAAGAGCAGTTTCCTAGGGTGTTTTGAGCAGATATATCCTCTCAGGGTAATTTTGAAGAGCAGCATCAATCCACATGTGAGTTTGGTAAGTGTTTAAAGGCCCACATCCACCTTGGGAAACTACGGTTCCTCACTTCATTCTCTTCCCCCTCCTCAAATGTGGATGCCATTATTTCTGCTGGAATTAATTTTACCTTTCTTCAAAATGGAAGAAAAGGAAGTTCTCTCCCCTTACTGTAACCGCCAGCCTCTTCAAAGGATATCGTCCTGGTTTTCCTTTCCACAATCACCTAACTTGCTAAACCCAGTATTCCCCACCACCCTAAGCTTTGCCGCACTTAGAGTGGAGGCTGCTGCACAAAGCTCATTAGGAGATGGATGTGGAGACACCATGGATCAAATCATGTCCCACAAATCACTGCGATCGCACAGTCAAATGGAAAGCACGTAACTTATCGCACCTGTGTAAGCTCCGTTTCCCCAACACTGTCATTAGGAAGGCTTTTAGCTGCATGCTGTATACATAGTCTAACAAGAAAAAACGTTCCCTCTGGAGATATTTAGGTTTCCTGTTCCCTTTTGCATCCTTTGTCCTAAACGACAAGTAAGATATTTCACAAATGCATCTTGTAAACGAGCTCAGTTAAAGTGAGAATTATGTCCCCGTGCATTCATACCAGAAATGCCATAAAGACTCTTTTTTTTTCCTACCCAACCTTTGGCTATCATCCACAGCATTCCTATTTTACATGGGAATACTGTGGAT